TTTTGGACTATGGGAGCCCTGGTGGTATAGTGGTTAAGTGTTTGGCTGCCAGCAGCATGGTTGGCAGTTCGAAACCACCAGCAGCTCCTCGGGAGAAAGACTGGACTTTTGATTCTCGTAAACAGTTACAGTCTTGGAAACCCACAAGGGGGTTGCTGTGAGTCAGCATTGACTCGATGGCACTGAGTCTGGTTTTGGGTTTTTTGGGACTCGGACTGTGTTGAAGGTATCTGTGACGTACATCTGGGTTTTTGGTTTGAAGGACATACATAATAAGGAAAACATAATGTGGAAAAAAATAATAAGGAGTTAAGGTCCAGCAGGGCCTCTGGGTACACTTCAGACATTTCATATTCACGTGGTTTGACTTGCTGTAAAGAGGTGCGATGACAGGGTTGAAACTCTCCACTGAGTGGAGACAGGGGATGGTCCTGGGAAAGCTTGAAGAAAAGTAGAAGCTAAAAAAAAAAAAAGAGTGCTTCCTGTGTCCCCTCCATTAGCCTCCTGGCATCGCCCTACTGTCTGCCTGAACCCCTTAAGACTGTTGGCTACTCCCTGAAGAGATTGCATAGAGAAATGCAGTGCACATACATGCTGGTCTGTGGGGAAAGTACATCTAAACAGAATAGATAAGTTATCCTCTTTTCTACCCGGAGATTTGATGTCAAATCTGATTTGGAAGCCTTAGTACCTAAGAAAAATCAATCCAAAATTTTCATAAATTTGGATTTGATAATACATAATTCTAAAGGATAAGGATTGAGCATTAGACTGTCTTGCAAAATATAGGGCAGAGACACAGTGATTAAACAGATTGGACATATCTATAGAGCTGCATTCTAGTTTGGTGTGTGTGCGCCTCAGAAATTAATAGGCCCTGGTGGTATAGCGGTTTTGCGCTAACCACGAGTTCTGTACTTCGAAACCACCAGGCGCTCCACAGGAGAAAAACGAGGCTTTCTACTCGGGTCAAGAGTTATAGCTTTAGGAACCCATGGGGGATTGGGGTGGGGTTGGGGTGGGGGTGGGGGATGGGTGAGTGGGTGGGGCAGTTTTACCCTGTCCTAAAGGGTTGCTGTGAGTGAGAATTGACTCAGTGGCAGTGAGATTTTAAGTTTTAACTCCGTGCACAGCCTGGCAGGACAGTGAGGTAAATGTTGGACTGCCGACCTCAGGCCTGCGTTTTATAGACACCAGCTGTGCAGGAGATGGATGAGACTGTCTGCTTCCTTAGAGACGGATCTCAGTGGGTTTGGGGGAGTTGATTTGGATGCAGTGGCACAGGAAAACCAGGCTCTGTAGAATTGCCCGGAGTTTGTTTTTCAGAGGTAGACCCACAGGCTTGTCTTCCCATACAACTCTGGGTGAACTGCCCTGTTTCTTCGAAAATAAGACAGTGTCTTATATTAATTTTTGCTCCCAAAGATGTGCTAGATCTTATTTTCAGGGGATGTCTTATTTTTACATGAAGAAGAATACGGTATATATTTATTGTTTGTTGTTTTAGTAAAAGAGACCTCGCACTTCCTGTCTGCTGCGGCTGCGCTAAGGCCAACAGTGAACTGCTCTTCGGCCACGGCTTAGGTGCAAAGCCCAGAATTATGGTAGCTTCGGTGGGCCTTATTTTCGGGGAGGTCTTATTTTCGGGGGATGTGTTACTTTCGGGGAAACAGGGTACCAAGTCCAGTCTTTCCTTTAGCAGCCCATAGCTAACTTGTCATTGTGTTTGTGTTCAGTATCCTCCTCTGATGTGAGGCCAAGGAGCACGGAGGCACCATGGTTAAACGCTTGACTGGTAACCCATGGAGGGGAAGAAGGGGTGGGGAGTGGGGGGAAGCAATGGAAGTCTGTGTCTGTAGATCCCAGCCTTGAAAACCTTAGGGGGTAAGACCTCTCTCACTAGAACGGAAATCAACAAATGGAATGGGTTGGGTTTGGAGGTTTGTTTATTTGTTTCCTGGGTGTTTGACCACCAGAGACATGGGGCTCCTTCTGCAGAGTCTAGCACAACGCCTTGCACATAATTGTTGCCCTCCATAAATGCGAGATATGCAAATGATGAACGAGTTCTTTAAGGAGGGGAAAATCAAGAGGAGAACTTCTTTTTCTCATAGTCAGATCGCTTAGGCTTCGTTTGTTCCAGATATGAATCAGCTAATCAGCGTAGACCGTGCTTTCATTTGCGTACCAGGTGTCGGGAGGCGCTTCTGCTGAGATTGAGAGATTGATTCATCTCCGGAGAAAAATAAAGTGGGCGCTGAACGGGCAGGCTGGAACCGCGAGGAGAAGGCGGAGCCACCAAGAGTTGGAGCCTTTCTGTCCAATCAAAAGAAGCGCTAGAAGGCGGAGGGGGAGGTAAAGGAGGAGCGGGAGCCCCAGAATCTTGCTCAGTTGCGCGAGCTCCAGGCCGAGCGGCAGTTTCTCGGTTAGGTTCTTGCCCCGAGGGAGCCCCGCGGTTCCGAGAGCGACTCCAGCCATGGCCTTTGCGGATATGCGGAAAGTGCTCATTAGTGACAGCCTGGACCCTTGCTGCCGGAAGATCCTGCAAGATGGAGGGCTGCGGGTGGTGGAGAAACAGAATCTGAGCAAGGAGGAGCTGATCGCTGAGCTGCAGGTAATGCAAACGGGAAAGGGCGTGGGTCCTGGCCACCGGCCACCGCCCCGGCCAGCGCGTCCCTGCCCTCCCTCCGGGTATCCGTCACCCCGGGGGCCTCCAGAGATGGAGGATTTGGGAGGGACGAACCCACGGCGGCGGGCTGCGAGATGCAAACTTTTTGTTTAGTTTGCAACAGCGTGGTTCCCGGTGGCTTGCCTTCCTCGGGCATTGCGACGCGCACGCTGCTCCAACTGGTCCTGCCGGCTCTCCGCGAGGTGCCAACGCGCCACGCCAGCGCCCTGGCGAGCAGCGGCCCAGCGGCCGGTCCACGCGCGGCAGGGACCCGAGGGGGCAGGGACGCCAAAGTGGCTTCCTTCGGGGAGCTCTGGACCCAGGGGCTCCTCTTAGAGCAAATCCCGACTCGGTCGGCAATCTGGTGGGTGCTGAGGAAGCTGCTGGGGCAGGCGGCCCTGCTGGGGCAGCAAACGCCATGCCTGCTATAGGCTGATGCAAGACTCCTGCATGCTTTCGCCGCCCCCTGGGCCTCTGGGGGAGCGCTCTGAGCGAAGGAGGCGGGCAGGGGGCGCCCAGGCGATCGCCACCCACGTGGCCGCCCGCCGCCTGACGCTGGGGCCCTTGCCCCTCCACCTGGATCAGGCCACAGTGCCTTACTTCTGACCTGGAGAGACCAGGCTGACCCAGAATCCTGTCTCTTCCAAACATCCCCCGAAAGTTTATTTTCCTGAGCAAGTCTTTCGGTCATTGGCCACCTCTGCATTGTGACACACCAGGAACTCCTGCTTCAGATCTTATCGACCCTGCTTGAAAAAGACCTTTGAAGTTTGGTAGCTGTATCTCAGAAGAGATTAATGAGCCTTCCTCTTCAGCTCCTGCACTTCCCCACTCTCACCCATCCCCCTAGACTCTCCCCTTGGCCAGGCCTGGCCTCCGACCACCCCCATTAACCACACAAACAAAACAACTCAACCCAACCCACAAACAAAAAACTCAACTCAACCCACTTCCCACTCCAGGCATTGGCCAACCTCTTAACCAGGGTTGCCTTAACCCTTCAAGGCAGCTGTTGATGTTTCAGCTTTGCCACACGCTTAGTCCTCAAAACAGCCTGGGGCCCTCCTTGTCCGCCTGTCTGTCAGAGGCGGTTTCCCCATGGAACCTCGCACTTCCACCCACCCTGGCACTGAATCCAGTTTCCCAGCTCTTGTACCCAGAGAAGTTCCCTTCTACTCTGCCTGCTCTTGGGCAGCATGACTTATACAGATGGAAGGACCCAATAAGGCAGTACGTCAGTGCCAAGTCGACCATTTCACTGCCTGCTGGAAGTGTAGAGAAAGGGGGGTGTCATTATGGCCTGGTGTGGGGTTAAGGAGAGGGTCCCCCCACAAATCATCACAGGTCCGGTAGGCTCAATTGTACAGCGATAATAAGTAAAGATTATAGTAGTAAGGTGACCAGATTTTAACATTGGTAAAACGGGACACCATTGATAAAACTCACCTGGTGAAATAGCCACATGGCAGCCGAAAACCGTATACCCTAGCTGGTCGTGCATTCTTTCCACAAAGCGGGACTTTTTTTAAAACGCCGCGGGATGCGGGAAACATTGTTAAAAATCGGAACCCCCGCCCGGCCAAAAGTGGAACGTCTGGTCACCTTATAATAAAGTCATAGAGCGCATGAGAGGTAGAGAAGAGATTGGAAAAATGGAGTCAGACACTATTCATGGTAGCATTGCTTATGTCAGCCCCGCTTTGTGGTCCACGTAGGGGGAGCCCAGCCACGAGAGAAGGAGAGAGCTTCGGGGGTGAGAGCCGTGGAGAGCTTCAACTTTATTGCTAACCAAGGGTTATATCTTATTAGGGGGACATGATTACAGGTAAGGGGATCTATGATAGGCATAAGTGTAACAGGAAGGGGATGAGCTAGGGGTGTGCCCATAGGAATGGGAAGGTCTAGGGGTATACATGTGACAAGATGGGTGGACCCTAGATTCATGATGGCAGCCTAACTTTGGTCATCCTTGGGCAGGTTTGACCTCTCTGGTGTCTCCTACAAGGAAACAGACAACTACTATCCTTATCAGAAGGAGTGGGCCCTACTTGTGGGATAAACAGTGTTGTCTGCTGGCTCCAGATGGCTACTTCTGATGACCTCCAAGTGTATAGTCATTCGCAAGCCGCTAAGTTTGGCATATATTTGGGGGGGACAACTTGGGAGGAATCCTGTTTCCCATAGCCTGGCCTGGTGTACAGGGGTTTTGGGACCTGACTGGATGTCCTGGCGGGCTGGCAGGGAAGTGGAGCCCCTGCATGGTCCCGTCTCCTCCCTGGTGGTAGACTCGCAGCCACTGGCCTTGGCTCGGGAGTGGTTTGCAGAGCGGTTTTGACACACACATCGGGCAGCAGGCTGGGAGGAGTGCCTTTTGTTGTGGTTGTTAGGTCGTGATGTTTGAGGCCATCGTGGCAGCCACTGCATCAGTCCATCTTGCTCAGGGTCTGCCCGTCTTTTGCCGGCTCTTCACTTTACCAAGCATGATGTCCTTCTCCAGAGATTGGTCTCTCCTGACAACATATCCCAGGTGTGTAAGGTAAGCGAAGTCCCACCATCCTTACCTCTAAGCAAGTAAGGACCCATACCTCCTGGCTGGACTTCTAAGACAGATTCGTTTGGCCATTTTGGCAGCCCTTGGGACTGTCCATGTTCTCTGCCAGCACCATAATTCAAATGCATTGATTATTCTTCAGTCTTCCGTAGTCAATGTCGAACTCTTCCATGCAGACGAGGCAATTGAATGGCGTGGGCCAGGCACACCTTAGTCCTTGCTTTGTGTAAAGTATTACAAAGAAGGAGGTTACTTTGAGGACAGGATCACCAGACCCTAGCCTTGGCATTGTCTATGCTCAGGGAAGCAGCAGTCAAAAGAGGGCCTTTACCACTTTCTAATACAAGTGTACGAACTTAATGGTCTTGGCGGGTGCGGGTGGGGTGGGGAGAGAGGGACGCTGTAATAGGTTATGGAGGGTGACAGACTGTTGCTAGTCTGGGGTCCTGACACCCACTTCAGTCTGCAGCTGAAACTTACAGAACTCTTTAAAACTCACTGCCGTCACGTCAGTGCTCACTTAGAGCCACCCTATATGGCAGGGTCGAACTGCCCCTGAATTTCCGAGATTAAGGGAGTAGAAAGCTCTGTCTGATGATTTCGAACTGCTGACTACTCTGATCACAGCCCCATGCATAACCACCACTAAGCCATGGAGGGCCTTTACCGAACCCTTTAAAGCTTTGACAATACCTTCCCAGAAAGGAGGGCCTTTGTCAGTACCATTGACTAGGGAGGCTGAAGAATGATCGCTACATGTGAATGATGGTGCTGGTGGAGAATATTGAAAGTACCCTGGACTTCCAAAAGAACCAACAGGTCTGTCTTGCAAGAAGTACAGCCCGAGTGCTCCTGGATGTCAGACTTTGTCTCAAGTACTTTCGACATGCTATCAGGAGAGACCAGTCCCCGGGGAAGGACGATGCTTGGTACAGGAGAGGGGCAGCGAAACAAGAGGAAGGTCCTGGACAAGGGGGGTTGACACGTGGACGGCGGCAATGGACTCAAGCAGAAGACCAATTGTGAGGATGGCGCAGGACCGGGCAGTGCTTCACTCTGGTGCACAGGGTCGGTAGCAGTCAGATCTGACGTGATGACGTCAAGCAGCAACAATAACATGTCTGCTGGGCACAGTAGGCCCATTGGGAGGGCTGTGCCATTGTGTGTGTCATTGTAAAATGTCAGCTTTAGAAGGTCACTTAATCGTGAGCTGCTCCCTAAAAGGGCCCCTTTCCTATTATGTCTTGTTATTGTGTAGTGCCAACTGCCCCCCCCCCCCCATTATTTATTTATTTAAAAAATACCACTGGTGGGAACTGGGACCGGCCAGGGGGCCTCAGTTTTCAAGCCTTGGTATTCCTAGCCAGCCTCGAAGCCAGCCTAGTTCGCTCTCTCACTTTTTCATGGTACGTCCATTCCCCTTAGACCGGTGGTTCTCAACTTCCTCATGCCGCGACCCTTTCATACAGTTCCTCATGTTATGGTGACCTCCCAACCATAACATTTTGTTGCTACTTCATTACTGTAATTTTGCTACTGTTATGAATCGGGCGACCCCTGTGAAAGGGTCGTTCGATTCCCCCAAAGGAGTCGTGACCCACAGGTTGAGAACCGCTGCCCTAGAATGATCCTTTCCCAGCTTACAGTGAGTCACCCAACTCATGAGTAGATAAAGGAATGCTTTCAAAGGCCATGCCTGCATTTATAAAAACAAAATAGGATATATCCAAGAGCGATGACCCATAGCAAGGTGCACGATTGTTTCATGAAATTCCCTTCATTGTGAGAGGGGTGTGTGGTATGTGAATATCTAATCACAACTTAGGTGTCTTTTGATTGTTTTAAGGAGAGAGCACTCAAAAAGCTTGACAAACACTGGCTTCAAGCAAAAAAGCATCCTTTTGAAACAGAACTCGGGCTGTGTGCCTCTCTTTGTCCCCAGGTATCACCTCATCAAGAAATGCAATATGTAGGGAGACAGATACGAACGATCTTACTATGCATCAATGCCTTTTAAAGTTTCACCAGAACTCAAAATAAGAAATTCATTTTACATCATAACTCAGTACACACAGATGCATGTAACAAGGAAACGTATTTACATATAAACACAATAAGGTTTCACGAAATGATACTCTATATGTGGTGCACTTAAAGAATAATATTTTGCTTCATTGAGTACTATTAGTTGTCCAAACATGTCCCCTACACCCGCCACCCCCAAAACAAAAGGAAAACCACCTTACTGCCATCAAGTTGACTGAGTGGCCACTCAGTAGAACAACTCCCGTGGGTTTCTGAGGCTATACCTCTAGATGGGAGCAGAAAGCCTCATCTTTCTCCCAAGGAGTGGCTGGTGGCTTGGAACTGCTGACCTTGTGGCTAGCAGCCCAAT